CCACACAGATGCGGGGTCAACAAGGCCCTGCCCGTGCCCTGTGGACACCCGGGCTGGTCTTCAAGGCCACACGAGCCGTGGAACACTGTGTCAGGAGGAGAGCGGCACAGAGTGTCGCCGCTGTCCCCTACGCCGGGACAGGACGCTGATCTCAGAGGCCACAGCCTGGCAGGGAGCCCCTTCCCCGGCCCCGTGCCAAGTGGACAAGTGGTTCATGTGAACGAGGAGTCCTTGCAAGCTGGCATGCGTGGAAGGCTTCCTGGAGGAGGCAGACCTTTTTACAAAGGGCAGAAGGGGCTGCCCAGGGCAAGGCACAAGGCTGTGGCTGGGAAGGGCAGAGCTGTGGAGGTGACTAGGCCGGGCCACGGAGCAGGCCGCGGGGGGACCTGCTGCTCTCCCTGCCCAGCCCAAGGTCCTTGCCAGCGGAAGCCACAGCAGCAGAACGGCTCCTCCGGGCCTTGGGACCGAGCAGCGGTCAGCAGGCGACGGCCCCGCTGTCATGTCCATTGTCAGCTCCCACCCTAGAGGACACGCGCGGGTTTCAGACACAACTGCGGTGGGGGACAGGTCAACTTCCTGGTTCCCAGAATAAGGGCAGACTCCGGGGAATAGTTACATGAATGGAAAGTTCTAGAACTGGCATCAATGGACTTCCCAAGAGCGAGTGACTCATGCCCCACCCCTGCTTAATGGGGGGGACAAACAGGAAGTCAGGGGGCTTTTCTGAGTCACTTCTCCCACGTCGGGGTCCACTTTTCATCAGCCCATCCCGGGCAGCATCTGTCTTGGAGTCCCTCACACTCAACTCACTGTCCACGGGGGGCGGTCACCGGGCCCTGGGCGCTGGGCGCTGCCGGCGGCCTCCGCCCCCACCTCTCTCTCGCTGCGCCTCACCTGTCACTGCCTAGGGGACTCAATCTTGCCGTGCCAATGGGAACTCGGAGGGGTCAGAGGGCGGGGTGGGGGTCCTGTCACTCCCCCCCACTCTGGGCAGGAAGCCCCCAGTCAGCTCTGATTCCTCCATCTCCCGCTAGGCTGCAGGTGCCTCCCGGGGCTTCCTGACTTTAACATGCGGTGCTTTAGGGACGATCACTACACAGGGCAGGCCCAGGGCAGGGCGGGGGAAGCAGGGGCTGGGGGCAGATGCGTAGAGCAGCCCCTCACTCCAGCTGAGTCAGATGACCTGGGCCTGGGCCTGGGGGTGGGGGACAGGAGTGCGGCCCCGGGCACGGGAGGGAGCCCGTGTGCCGGAGTGGGGACGTGGGTCCAGAAGGTTCTGGGTCTCAGGGAGGAATGGCAGCAGGAACTGGAGCGCTGGCCCCTAGAGCAGGGAGGCCCGGGGCCGGGGGCAGAGGGTGGGGGCTGTGAGGTGGGACCCTGAACCCATCACCAGCTTAGCTCCGGGCGAGCCCCGCCCGGGAAGCCCCCTCCCCCAGTGCCTGTGTTAGTTGAGGGGCTCCCGGGAGCCCCCTCTTCCTGTTAGGCCCTGGTTGCACCTGCAGCTCCAGCGCCATTGAGGAAGGCAGTTCCTCTTCCTGGGCCTGTGTCCTCACTGTGAAACAGGATCAGATCAGGCTGGGTCAGGTCAGGCCAGGGACGGCTGCACGTTTGCAACAGCGGACTCTTTCCAAATGGAATCTTAGGCATCCCTGCCTCTCACGACGCAAGACCTAGGGCAGCCGTGGGGGACGGCGGTCATCACCGCCTGGGAGGCCTGCAGGAGTGCCCGGTCCAAGTGCCCAGCTTCCTGCTCGTGCGCACTCCGGGAGGCCGCAGTGACGGCCCCAGGACTTGGGTCCCTGCCGCCCGCCCGCGTGGGAGACCTGGACTGAGTCGTGGGCTCCTGGCTTCAGCCGGCCCAGCCCTGGCTATTGTAGGCACCGTGGAGAGGATGCAAGATCTCTTTCAGTCTCTCTCTCTAGCTCCCTGCATCTCAAACCAAAAAATGAGACTAACTAAAGAAAATGTTTTTAGATGCAAGTGCTTGGCTTCCCGGAGCAGGGCAGCGTGGGTGCCTGCCAGGGGTCCCCCACCCCAAAAGGTACTGGCTAGAGGGGGCTCTGGGAGGAGCCACCCCCACCCCCGGGTGTTCCCTGGGCATGGCTGCACCTGTCCCCTGAGGTGTGGCCCCTCGGCAGCCTCACTCAGCACAGCCTCCCACTCCCCTCCAGGCCATCAGCAAACCCTGGGCCCCCTTCTCCCAACTCCTGGCCTCCGCTTCCGCCTCCCCCTGCAGTCTGCCCACAGCCCAAGGGCAGGAACCCTCCCTGGCCACAGCCCTCCAGCCCGTCCGAGGCCTCGGTCGGCCGCACACCGGGGAAGCGCCCTTCAGTCCTCTGGGAGTGTCCTCTCCTCCAGCTGGGCTCCTGGGCCCAGATCAGCCCTCTGAGTCCCCAGGCCCCTCTGCCCCAGCTCTGCCCCTCCCCGCAGGGATGTCAGCTGCCAGTGGGGGCCCCAGCCTGCTCGGCCCAGAGGCTCTCTGATGAACAGCCCTGGAATGCATAAATGCAGAGCCCAACAGCGGACAGACAGCGCCTGGACCTGGCCTGCCGGCCCTCCTCTGCCTGCATGTTCTCTTTGCAACAGGAAGCAGACAGAGCTGGCTTGCAAACATCCGCAGGGTCTTGGTTTTGGGGGCGGGGGGTGGGGAGACAGTAGAGTGGGGGGTCCTGGGTGGTCAGCAGAGCCCGGGGCTGGGCTGGGGCGAAAAGGCTGCCCATTCTTTCTCCTCCAGTCTTTGCGTCCTGGGGGGCCATCTGCGCACTGCCCACTAGCACTTGACGCACGGCCTGGGATCCGGGTGGGGGGGACAGACTCTCAGAAGACAAATTAGCAGGAGGCAGCCTCGTGTCTTCATTTCCTGCTTGCCACCAGTGGGAGTGAGCTCTCCGTCACCAGGGGTATGCAAGCCTATTCCAGGGAGCTTATCTAGGGGATTCCTGCACCTGGTGCACTTACACGAGATGCTATCTGGGGACTGTCATTGTGTGCTTAAAGTGCAGGGAGGCACCCGGGGGAGAAGACGGCCCAGTAATGAAGGGACAGAGGCAGGAGGAAGTGGGCCAGGCCAGGTCGTACCTAGGGAAAACGGGAAGTTGATGAGGTCAGAGCCCCGGCTCTCACCGGGCTCCCCCCCCCCCCCAGGGACGCCTCCTTTCCGCTCCGGGGGTGTGGCGGGCACTCGCCCAGGGGGCCCTGCCCCAGCGGAATTCCCTGTTCCTTCCACCGGACAACATGTGTTTTTGTAGAGGTCGCTTCCAAGGCAAAGCAACAGGCGTCCAGTTTCCGGGCTGAGGTCGCTGGGGTGGGGGTGGGGGTGGGGGTGGGGGAGGCGTTCAGAAGCCTCGGCAGCAGGCCCGGCCAGCCCCCTCAGCGCCCCGCACCCGAGCGCACGCCCGGCTTCCCCAGCGCCCCCGCACCAGAGCCTGTGCCGGGCTCCCGCCGCGGCCCCCAGGCCTGTGCGGCGCAGAACCCGGTTTTCCAGAACTGAGGCGGAGGACGAAGGACCCGGCCACAGCCGCAGCCCCAGGGCTTCCACGCCGAACCAGCGGAGGCCGGAGCCCGGCTCCCGGAGACGCGCGCCGGGACCTCGGCGCCCGTAGGCTGTCCCAGGGGACCGCCGCCCGCCTGGCACCTCCTCCACACCTGCAGCTTCCCGGGACGCCCACCGGGCTCTGCGGGGCCAGGGGTCTTCTCCGCTGAGCAGTCTTAAGCAATGCCCGACGAGGCGGCGCGGCGTGGGGAGCGGGCAGGGGGACGTGAAAGGAGACCCCCGGGTCCCCTCTCTCAGAAGCCGCTTCCCAGGCGCCAACCATGCGCAGCCGCCGCGCCCTGGACCCGACCCAGGCACCGGCTTGACAAGGCCAATCCGAAGGTCACTGTCCCCCGACAGGCCAGTGGGGCGGGCAAGGGGACCCCAAAGGGCCCTCGGTTTAGGCAGTGAGGGTCGCCTGCTGGGCCGCTGGAATGCGCCGGCCGGACCCCAAAACCCGAGGGGGTGCGCAGGGGCTCGGGCAGAGCCGCGAGTGCCAGAGGCTGGCGTCGCCGCGACTGTGCGTGTTTGCATCCAAAGTTCGGGCGGAGCGGGGCCGCGTCTACACCGGCAGCGCCGGCTCTGACAGGTCGGGGCGCCCTCCCTGGCAACCCGGCCGCCCCAAACGCGCGCGGGTTTCCTAACAGCACCGTCTGCGCTTCCCAGTGTAGCCAGGTCGTCGCGTCCCGCACACAGCGGGGCTGCCCTCCTCCGCGCAGGACCGGTCTGGCTCTGGCCTTGGCCGCGGCCGTGGGTTCGTCTCCGCCCGCCACCGCCGGTGTCCCTCGGCCGAGGAGCTGCGAGGGCTCCTGGGGGCGGGGAGGCGGAGCGGGGCGGCCCGGCTGGGGCCGAGCGCGGGTTGGGGCGGTGGGGGGGGGGGGGGCGGGCGCCGCGACTTACCCCGCGGGGTCCCGGCGCGTGGACGCCCCGGCACGTCGGCTCATGTCGGCGGCGGCCGCGGGACGCTGCTCCGAAGGGCTCCGGCGCGCGGTCGCGTGCGCTCGCATGGCCCCGGGGAAGGGCCCGAGCGGGCGCCGCCGCCGCCGCCGCCCCGCGCCGAGTAGGGAAGCCGCCGCCGCCGCCGCCGCGCGCTGGGCGCTCGCTCCCGGCGACTTCCTGTATCGCCGCGAGCGGGGCTTTCAGGAAGAGGCTGGCCTTGGTGGTCAAGGTTTTTTTGTCAAGAGCCATTCGGCGGCGGCTCGCGGCCCCGAGCCCCCTGGGACACACGGAAGCCCCAGCGGCCGCGCCCCCGGGGCCGGGCCAGGCGGCGGGCGGTGCCGGAGCCGGCGCGCCCGGTGCGGACGCCCAACCTCGGAGTGCCGCCTCCGCCCGCTGGGGCAAACTCGCGGAGAAGTCTCGGGGTGGGCGCGGGGCCGCGAGCGGAGCGCGCCGACTGGGAGTCCCGGCCTCGCCTCCACCCCCAAGCCGCTGCAGCCTCAGATCCAAACGGGGCGCCTCCTCCACGTCCCAGCCCGGGGGCCAGGCTGCCTCCCCTTGGCTGCCTCCACGGACGCCTAGCTCCCTACCCCACGAGGCTGGCCTCCAATTCATCTGTGTGGGGCGGGGGTGGGGGGCTGCAGGTGGAGACAGCCAGCCTGCTGATTCGAGGAACAGCCCGGCAGCCCAGGCGGGACCCGGAGGCCTCCACTGTAGTGCCTGGCTCTCCAAGTGCCTCTTGCACCTGCCCTGTCCCCAGAGTCGCCTCGTGGGCAGGACTTGAGCCCAAGAGTTCGCCTCAGTCTAATGCGTGTCTCAGCCTGGGCACTGGAGGCTGGGGGCCAGACAAGGCTTCGTTAGCAGGGGCTGCCTTGGGTACTGAGTGGGGAACAGCACCCTTGGATGCCAGAAGCTCCACCTCTCCCACTGACAACCCTCAATGCCTCTCCTGTTGCCAGCTGGGCTTTCGTAGATAAGGATACTGCCGGGAGAGAGAGGAGGGGCCTTGTCCGAGACCCCTGAACAAGTTGAGGCTGGCGGGGATGGAAGCCCAGGGCTCAGCGGGCAGCACCTCCAAGCTCTTTAGTTGTTCCCCCCACCCCACCACACACTCACACTTTCTGCCCCCTCTCCTGGCACGTGTGCCCATCTGCCTTCTGAAGCTAGATAGGACTCCAGGTCCCAGCGAGCAGTGATGGCCGTGACAGCCCGGCCTCCTGGTGGGGCTGCGCAGTGCTGCAGCCATTGGGAGCCGACCGGCACTTCCTGGGAAGGTTTAACGGAGCGGCGGCCTCTGACCCAGCAGTCCCGCCCCTAGGTGAAAACACCTGACCCCGTGAAGCCTGCCCAGGGGTGCAGCGCGGCAGGTGCAGCCGCCTGTCATGCTGGCATCCTACTTCCAGTCCAGCTCCCTGCTGGTGCACCGGGGAAAGCAGTGGAATCTGGCTCAAGTAGTTGGGTCTCTGCCAACCATGTGGGAGACCCAGATGGAGTTATGGGATCCTGGCCTTTGTAGCCATTTGGGGAGTGGACCAGTGGATGGAAGCCCCCACCCCCCCAACACACACACTGTGGTCATTCTGCTTTTTAGATAAATCTTTGGAGTCTGAAACTCCATCTGAATCTCCCATGTGGATGGCAGGGGCCCAAGCACTTGGGCCATTCTCCACTGCTTTCCCAGGCCATTAGCAGGGAGCTGGATCAGAAGTGGAGGAGCCAGGACTCGAACTGGCACCCACATGGGATGCTGGCATCATAGGCCATGGCTTAACTAACCTCTGTGCCACAATGCTGACTCCCAAAATAAATCCTGAAAGGAACGAAAACCTTGCACAGGAACGTTCATCCCAGCCTTAAGGTGGGAGCAGCTCGAAGTCTGTCACTTGAGTGGATGAACACCGTGCAGCAGACTCACACGGTATTATTATTACTGTTAATATGTAGTAACAATATTAATATTACTAGGCCGCAAGAAGGAACAAAGTGTTTTTAAAGTTTTGTTTACTTATGTATTGGTTTGGAGAGACTGATGGAAACAGAGATCTTCCATCCACTGGTTCACTCCCCAAATGCCTGCAATATTGGGGACTGGCCCAGGCTGAAGCCAGGAGCCGGGAACTCCATGCAGGTCTCCCAAGGACTCAAGTCCTTGGGTCATCATCCACCGCCTTCGCAGTGGCATTAGCAGGGAGCTGGATTGAAAATGGCACTCCCTGGCCGGCGCCGCGGCTCACTAGGCTAATCCTCCACCTAGCGGCACCGGCACACTGGGTTCTAGTCCCGGTCGGGGCACCAGATTCTGTCCCGGTTGCCCCTCTTCCAGGCCAGCTCTCTGCTGTGGCCCGGGAGTGCAGTGGAGGATGGCCCAAGTGCTTGAGCCCTGCACCCGCATAGGAGACCAGGAGAAGCACCTGGCTCCTGGCTTCAGATCAGCGTGATGTGCCGGCCGCAGCAGCCATTGGAGGGTGAATCAACGGTAAAGGAAGACCTTTCTCTCTGTCTCTCTCTCTCACTATCCACTCTGTCTGTCCAAAAAAAAAAAAAAAAAAAAAAAAAAGAAAGAAAGAAAGAAAAAGAACAAAAGAAAGTGGCACTCCCACAGGGGAAGTGGGCACCCCAGGAGGCAGCTCAACCTCGGTGCCACAACGCCCACCCAAGAGATCGGTTCTGATTTTTGCTACAACCCGATCCTCAGAAAAATGCACTAAGTGAAAGAAGCCAGTCGCCAAGGGCCACGTCCTACTTCTGTGAGATGTCCAGGGCGGGCAAATTCACAGAGGCAGAGGGCAGGCTGGTGGCTGCCGGCGGCTGGGGCGAGGAGAGACCAAGAGGAAGCCTGGTGATGGTTACGGCGTTTCTGTTCGCGGTGCTGAAAATGATGTAGAATTGATCGTGGTGATGTTGCACAACTTTGTGGCCACACTAAAAACCCTTGAGTTACACTCTGTAAGTGGTGACTCGTGTGGTATGGGAGTTGGACCCCAATAACATGATGCTTTTAAGCTGGGGGGGGGCATGTGCAGGCTTTCGGAGGCCACGGAGCCTGCCCCAGCCCACACCCCACCCCGTGTGCCCGTTCCTTCAGGCGCCCTTAGCACATCATGCCCCTGCCCCGTCGATGCTCCTCCCTTTCAGAGGCTGAACTGGGTCCTCCCTGTGTGGGAGACCCAGGTTCAACTGCAACCCCGGGACTTTCTGGCTCGGTAGCCCTGGGGAGGTCCCTTGCCCGAGCCTCAGTTAGCTCACCTGGGGAAGCGATGAGTACGAGCGAGGTGGGCAAGAAGACGCCCCCTCCAGGCGGCCACTACTGTTCCTCTGCTCTGAAAACAAGCCCACCGGCACCTGAGGTTGCACAGGCCTCTGCCAGGCCTCCCTGGGCTCCAGGGCAGTGGTCCAGCCGACTCTTGCTCCTGGAACTGTCCTCCAGAGCCTTCTAGGCTCTCCTGGGCTGGGAGGAACCCCATTCTTTCACTCCCCAAAAGGGCTCCCTTCAGCTCCCTGGGCTGTGACAGGGAAGCTCAGACTAGCCCCTCAAATCTGGGTTCTCCCACCTGCTCGAGGCAGCCAGAGCCCTCTGGTGGAGGCTAGATGAGGCCCCTTGGGACCTTGTTGAAGTCACTGATGAGGGAGGGGTTTGCACGAGGCCAGAAAGCTGAGCAGGGCTGTGGCCCCTGGTGTATCCCAGTGTGACGAGAGGCCAGGCTGGCCCTCAGCCCTCCTCTCAAGCCCACTGCCCATGCCCATGTCCTTATCTCCAACTCTCCTCCTGGTCATAGGTCTCAGGGCTCCTTCCTCCCCACCTTCAGTATGCACTGTTTCTCTAAGAAGTCACCCATCCCCTCCCCCACACTCATCTGTTGGTTTCCAGTGATGATAACCCCTCTTCCCATTGTAGAGGGAGCACATGACTCTAAACTGGCAATCAAATCTATGGATTTACTGGTCCTGGTGATTGGTTCATGGATGAGCACATGACCGAAGCTGGGCCAATGAGATCCTTCCCTGGGACTTTTTTCTGGCACAGCCAAGGAATGGCAGTGGTCTTTCCCCAGCCCCAAGCTGGTGTTAAGCTGGGAGAGTTAAGCCTGGGGGGCGGGCGATAGCCATTCTGGGCCACCATGTGGTCAAATTCTACTTAAGAAGAGAGTGAAGATCGAGTGACATCCTTTGAGGCCCGGATTCCTGCGTGCTTAACGTTAGACGTCGCAGTTAAAGCAGCTAATCAGTCTCTCTTCTTTTCTTTCCCTTTCTTCAAAACTCGAAGTCGCCGGAAGCTCACTTCTACCGGTTGTCGCTGAAGACCCAGGCCATCCACACGGCAGCTCCAGCCAGTGTCTCCATTCCCCTGCTGCGTCCAGAGGTGTCCAGTTGTGGCAGAGCTACAGGAGCGGAGGGGTAAACCCTTCACGTTATCACCCCAAAATATGAGATGCTGCTTCGCATCTCTGGGGCCCTCGGGGTGGCTCTCATGCCCCAGCCCCCTCCAGCTTCTGCACAGGTGAGAGCCAGTGCACAGGGTCTTGAGCAGGAAGCTGGGGACTGCCCAGGGGCAGGGCGCCTTTAGGGAGGTTGACGCTCGGCCTCGCTGGAGTTTCTGGGGGACTTTTAGTGAAAAATCTGCAGAGCGCCCAGAAGCCCTGCCCTGAGTTGGATTAGCCCTCCGAGGGTGCAGCGTGCTCTGACAACAGGAATCCCCTACTCTGTGGTGTCCTGGGTATGCAGCGGTGCCGTGGAGTGACCGTGTCTCCTGGGGCGAGCTCTGTGCCTGCGTGTGCCTCCGGTTCCTCATTGCTATGGGAGAATGACAGCACCTGCCTCCCAGTGCTGCTCTGAGCTTCTGCTGGAGAGAGGGCGCTCAGCCCACAGCCAGGGACTTCAGAGAGCTCAGAGAAAACGCAATGAAAAGAGATGCAGATTTGGGGGGCACGTTTTTACAGTCTATTTATTTGAAAGGCAGGGAGACAGAGAGGTCTTCCATCTGCTGGCTCACCCCCAAAATGGTTGCAACAGCCAGGGCTGGGCTAGGCTGAAGCCAGGAGTGGGGAATTCAATCTGTGTGTCCAATGGGCAAGACAGGGAGCCAAGGACGAAGGGCATCCCCTGTGGCCTCCCAGGGTGCACGTCTGAGGGAGCTGGAATCAGGAGGATGCCGGGACTCAAAGCCAGGCCCTCCAGCGTGGGAAGCCACCAGGGTCCCAAGCAACATCTTGACCGCTGGCCCAAAGCCTGCCCTTCCACGAACTCTCTGCACCAGTCCTGTGTCTTACTATTTGTCCTGGGACTGGAGCCCTCAGTGGATCAGTCAGGTCCCCCAGGAAACCAGCGGCACTTCCGATTGGGATAACTTGGGGGAGGGTTTAACAGATGTGAAGATGAGGATGTCCCAGGGAGGGAGCCGTAGCCTTCAGCTCTGTCACCTTCCTCAGCCCAAAGTCTGAGGCCAGGGGTGCAGCCGTGGAGACCCTGGGGGACAGAGGCGCTGGGACTCCCCGCCTCCCTGCCTTCTCATGCAATGGGACTTCCAACAGCTAAACTCAGCAGGAAGCCGGGGATGTGGGGGTTTGGGGCCCATTGTTCAGTCCACAGGGATCTGTGTGGGGACAAGGAGGGCTGGGCCAGGAGGGAAAGCCGGGGGTCAGATGAACTGGCTCCCATCCTGCCAGGCCTCTGGCCATGAAACTTGGGCAAATCAGCCACCTCCATGCTTGGTGCAGCGGTTACCATGCCTGCATCACCCACTGGAGTGCCTGCATTCAGGTCCTGACTCCACTTCCAACCCAGCCTCCTGCTGGCAGCAGGTGATGGCTCAAGTTCCCGAGTCCCTGCCACGCACGCGGGAGACCCAGATGGAGTTCTGGGCTCCTGGTTTCAGCATAGCCCCGCCGTGGTCACTGTGAGCATTGGGGGAGGGAACTAGCAAGTGGGAAATCTCCCTCTCTCTCTTTCTCTGCCTTTCAAATAAGTGAATATAAAATACGTTAACATTCTTTAAAGCATTGGACATGGGAGTGCAGCACCTCAGGCCCTGCATCCCAGCCCATCTGTTAGCTGTCAGTGACACGTGGGACAGGCACAGGAGTCCCTGGATGAGCCCTGCTGAGTTCCTGACCAGTGTGATTGTCAAAGGCAACAAGATGCTTGCTGTTTGGAATATTTTGTTCTACAAAAGTAAAGAGGGAGAAATTAGCTCCCTTGCAGTTTCATTCCCTGTTAGTTTGGAAAAAAATCTGAGAGGGGGAGAGAGAGAGAGAGGGAGAGAGAGAGAGGGAGAGGGAGAGAGAGGGGGAGAGAGAAGGGGAGAGAGAGAGGGAGAGAGAGAGAGAGAGGGAGAGAGGGGGGAGAGAGAGGGAAGGAGGAGGAGGAGGGAGAGGAGGGAGAGGAGAAGAAGGAGGAGGAGGAGGGAGAGGAGGGAGAGGAGGAGGAGGGAGAGGAGGAGGGAGAGGAGGAGGAGGAGGATGAGGAGGAGGATGAGAGGAGGGAGAGGAGGAGGAGGGAGAGGAGGAGGAGGGAGAGGAGGAGGATGAGAGGAGGGAGAGGAGGAGGAGGGAGAGGAGGATGAGAGGAGGAGGATGAGAGGAGGGAGAGGAGGAGAAGGTGGAGGAGGGAGAGGAGAAGAAGGAGGAGGAGGAGGGAGAGGAGGAGGAGGGAGAGGAGAAGGGAGAGGAGGAGAGGAGAAGGAGGAGGGGGAGGAGGGAGAGGAGGAGGGAGAGGAGGAGGGAGAGGAGGAGGGAGAGGAGGAGGAGGGAGAGGAGAGGAGGAGGGAGAGGAGAGGAGGAGGGAAAGGAGAGGAGGAGGAGCTGTTATTGCAGGCTCTCAGTATCTTTGGGGTCAGCCTGCAATGAAAGTGTTGGCTCCAGCTGCGAGGCTGTGGGGTGACCTTGGCACCAGTGTCAGGCTAAAGGGGGAGCCTCTTCTCTGCTCCCACTGACAGCCGGCCGGCGGCAGTGGGGGCCTGGCCATACCCGGCCCGACTGCTAAGAAATGCTGAAAATCTGGCTGCTTTCAACAGGAAAGTTTCCAACTTCTAGACCTTTGGACGGTTGCCGAGGCACGGTGGGGGCCCTGTTACCCGCCGGGGGCCAGTTCTGGGTGTGACCGAGGTCTAAGCTCTGTCATCCCCCCTGACGCCCCCCAAGTCTGCCTGTCCCATGGCAGCTGTGGAGAGACTGACCCTCCTCCCTCACCCGATTGCTGCTCCCGGGCGGGAGGGGGAGCTGATTGTCCCTCTGTGACGGAGAGGAGTGGGCGTCTCGGAGAGAGGGGTGCTGAGAGGCCGAGGAGACACCCCATACGTTTTTTAAGCAGCTCTGAGCTGTGCTATTGGGGCGCTTCTCGTAGGCATCTTGAGCCCACTGGGGCAGAAAGCGGGGCTTCCAAGGTCTCTCTCAGGGAGCTCCCCGCTTCCCGCCCACACCCCAGCTGCGTCTGCTCCTCTGACTCCCAGGGCTGTGCCTGCAGCCTGCCTGCTCCCTGTGAGCCCGCCCTGGGAGCAGGGATGCAGACGCCCTGAGGTTCTCGCGCTGCTGGGAGCCCTAGTGTGGGCGCAAGCTCCCTGCGATCAGGGACGCAGCTTCCTCTGGAACGCACGCTCGGCCCCGCCCCCCCCCATCCTGCAGACTGTGGGCACTTCCTAAGCTCTGCTGTGCCCCACAGCAGGGACTGTAACCACGGATGAAGTCTGCCCGTTTCCGGGTTCTGAGGATCGCCCTTGGACTGTGTACTGTCAGGAGATGAGTTTTTAATGAGAGGCCAAGCGTGCTTGATTGCTGCAGTCTGTGAAGTTCCTGACACCAGCGAGCTGTCCCCTGGCTGCAGCAGGGGTGAGTGGGACGAGAATGCTCTGGGTGCAGGGGTGGGGGTGGGGGGGCTTGAGGGCCTCAGCCCTTCAGCGGGCATGGGGAACGGGGAGGCAGCTGGCTGAGGAGGGCTCTCCCATCCTCCTCCGAGGCTGCCCCGGGAGTGAGGGAATGGAAAGACTTTGGAACAGTGACCCTGGGAAACACAGCCACAGTTGGGAGCGGCAGCGGCTCATCACCTCCAGGACAGCTCCTCTGCCAGGGGGCTGGGGCTTTGCTCTCGAACCAGAGCTCCTACTGTGTGCACTGCACAGCGGCCCCACTGTGCACCAAGGTTGGGTGAAGGACTCCAAGGGTAAGGCCACATCGGACGTGACTTCAGCCCCCTTCCATGGGAACTCACGCTGACCACGTCCAGTTCATCCAGGTACGCCCAGGTCGAGGGCTTCGGATAGCTGAATACCTGGGGAAAATACTGTACACACAGTTATTATTCATTGGTGTGTAACAAGTTACTCTCTCATCTTGTAGCTTTAAGTCACAACAAGCAGATTTGTTTTGTTTTTTATTTGTTTTTGCTGTTGTTTCATTTAATCTGCAGTTAATATTTTTTTAAGATTCATTTATTTTTATTTGAGAGGCAGAGTTACAGAGAGAGGGAGAGACAGTCTTCCATCCACTGGTTCATGCCCCAAATGGCCACAGTGGCCGGAGCTGGGCTGGTCCAAAGCCAGGAGCTTCTTCCGGGTCTCCCACGCAGGTGCAGGGGCCCAAGCACTTGCAGTTTCTATAGGTCAGGAATGGGGAGCAGCTTGTCTGGTTGGCTCTGGCTCAGGAGTTCTTGTGAGGCTGCATTCGAGCTGAAGTTAGGCAGCCCTTTTGGACTATGAGGCAGAAGCTATATTCCCAGGAAGGCAGAGAGACGGCAGGGGAGGAAGCTGGGCCACCGGCACCACAGAGGGTCCCATCAGGCCTGGACCAACACCCCTGTCTCCCCCTGCAGGACTGGGGTGTGAAGTCGCCCCCTGCCCCAGCTACCGGTATTTGTTGTTTTCCATACAGTAGCATTTCAACAGGGAGAAATAAGGGAAGGGTCTCCTAGGGAGAGGAGATGGTGAAGAAAGATCTGGAAGCAGGGCCCTACTTCTTGAGTGATGCCTAAGAAACTCACGGCGCCCCCCATGGGCAGGCGCGGGAACTGCGCCTCACGCCCGGCCCCCGCTGGTCTTCTGCCAGGAGCCGGCCTGCGTCTCACTTCTTGGTGTGGGTTCTGAGCACCACAGCTCTGTCCTAGCTCTGGGGAGGTGAGGCTGTGATTTCTTTCTGTCTCACTTCTCCCTTGGTGGGATGTTTACTTCCCCCCAAGACTGAGTTGAGTGTTCCCAGTTCCTCCAAGTGAGAAAACCCGGATGGCTCATCTGTGGGAAATCTGATGCCACGTGGGTCCTCCCAGCCCCATCCCCAGCCCCGACCTGGGTCCCTGCAGGTGGGAGTCTGTGGTGGGCGTGCCCCTGGGCCGGAAGCTCCTGGGAGCCCAGGTCACAGCAGTCCCTCCTCCTTAAAGAGCTGCTGAGAGGGCCAGAAGCTGTGGCTGCCTTGGAAACTCACGGCGGGGCTCCTGTCTCGGCTCTGCCCTGGTTGGCCCTGTGACCTTTCTCCCAAGTGTCTCAGCCTCGGGCCCACGTTTCCTCTCCTGGAAGACAGGTGGCGCTTTAACCACCTACGGCTGCTCGTGCAGGGTGCACGGAAGGTGGCCTTGTGACAAATGTTAGTTTCCCTTCGTGGACTGATTTTTAAATTTAAAAAATGTATTTATGACTTGAAAGGCAGAGAGAGAGAGTGTGTGTGTTCTATCTGCTGGTGCACTCCTCAATACCTACCACAGCCAGAGTTGGGTTGGGCCAAGGCCAGGAGCCTGGAACTCAATCCAGGTTTCCCAAACAGGTGGAGGGTCCAAGTATTTGAGCCTGACCTGCTGCCTCGCGGGGAGAGACTGGCAGAAAGCTGGGTGAGGGTAGAGCTGCAACTTGAATCCCGCTCTCCGATATGGGTTGTGGGCATCCCAAGTGGTGACTTTACTGCTCGACCCAGTGCCCACCTGTGCCTTGTTAAGTTAGCAACTGTTTCCTTTGTTGAGGCTACTAAGAGCAGAGACGTCCAGCTCTCTGGGCCCTTGAGCACTCGGCTGCCGTGCTTAGGGAGTGTGGGTTCAATTCTGCTGCCGTTGGTTAGTGCACAGGGTGGTGCTGAGGACCGGAGATGGAGAGGAAGTGACCTCCCTGCCCACCAGGGTCTCATCCCCAGAAGCTTCCCTGCAGGCTGTGGCCCTCGCAGTGACTTGGGCCAAGAGCAGGGCCAGCTGGACAATCTGGGGGACCTGGTGCAGAGTGAAAGTGCACACCCCCTCGCTCTGCAGGTGTTACCAATTCAGGACGACCCCAGCAGAGCAGGAGGCCTGGATGGGACCCCTCTGAGCAAGGGCTCTGGGCGTCCACACAGGCTGCCATGCCCAAGAAGACACAGCCCTGCGGCCGCACTCTACCTGCTCAGTGTCCAGTGACCCTCGCTGGTCCTGTAGCCCCCCGAGCCTCTGCCACATGCAGCCCCCTGGCCCAGAAGCTCATGGCACAGCCCCCGCTTGCCGGTCAGCAGCCCCACCGGGGGTCCTCGGGGTCCTGGCTGTGGGGAGTGGCTTCCATGTGTGCACGCTGCGCTGTCCACCACGCACAGTGCGTCTTCCAGGGGCTCTGGGAGTGTGGCTGGAGCTGTCGCCCACTTGGTTCGCCACATCCTTTATCTCCGGCCCAGGCAGACATCCCAGACAAGGCGGTCTGAGAGCCTCCACCCCACGCCTTCCCCTAGCCCCAGACTGAGACGCGGGCAAGCAGGTGGGTGGGCGGGACCTTCCTCTTGGTGCCCCAGGCTGTGGTTCCGGATGGACTCTCGGACTCAGCTCCACCCCCGAGCCTGGTGCGCAGACTTCAAGCAGCCCAGACCCTGGTCCCCAGCCCTGGGGGAAGGAGCCCTCTGGAGAGAAGGCCGAGAGAGCTAGCGTGAGACCTCCGAGTGCACTGGTGCATCTCGTCACACGGCGTCTGACCGCGCGTCACCTGCCCAAAAGCTGCCACCCCTGGGTGTTGGCCACATTGTAGCCGCCAGGCCGGGCAACAGGGATTCAGGTCTCCTGTGCTAAGATGGGGTCTTCGCCGCAACCCCGCTCGGGGCTTGTTCTGTTTTTGCAGAGGATGGGGCGGAGCTTGCTAGGATGGACACCTTGGGCCCTGCCCCCTTCCGGCTGCTGACTAGAACCTGCCTCTTACCTAGATGCCCCTGCGAATCACGCACACGGTAACGTTCGCGGGGGCTCCCAGGGCAGTGTAGGAGGAGGGAATGAAGCAGACCCGCAATGGTCCGTGATGCTTCCAAGAGCTGTGACAGCAGCTTTCTCTCTGCTGGGCAGGACCAGGACAAAACGAGGCCCCCGTGAGAACAATGAGGACGCGGGACCCCGCGCGAGGCCCCCGTGGGAACAATGAAGACGCGGGACCCCGCGCGAGGCCCCCGTGGGAACAACCACCAAGAATCCCAAGATGGTGACAATGAAGCCGGGTGCTTCCGATGGGGGGGGGGGCAGCGTGTGGGACTGCACAGGTGCCACGGCCATGACCTTGAGCACGGAAGGAAACAGAGCACCCTGGACAGGTCGTGCTATCCAGTTCCCTGTGGGAGTTCTTATTGTCAAGTCTTGTAATTAAAAAGCTCCAACCTCTCACCCCTTGTGCAGTTTTTCTCCATACGCAAATATAAATAGTTTCGAATGGCTGTAATTACAGTGTAGTTCATTGTTCCAAAACCACAAACCTGCGTGTGTCTTTACAGCCGTAGATGGAAGCTGGAATGGGAAGACCCTGGCTCTTGCTCATCTGACTGGCAGTGGACAGATGTTGAGATATCGCACAGCAATACTGACCGCTAGGCGTCTTAGAAAGGTTTCGTTCCTATTTACTTTAGGTTTGTCTCCACAATAAAAATGCACTCAGGCCGGTGTTTAGGAACCAATCGTGCCAACTCGTTGCAGTGTAAGGATAGCTTTATTAAACTAAGAGTCTTATATCACAGAGCATTCACAGTGCAGGAGGTCACAGTCATTGAAAAAATAAATAGTGGGATAAATATATTTATTATTTACAACTTTCCAAGTCATTGCTCCTGCTCTGCTGTCAGAAAGCGTGGACAGAGGGTGGTGTCCAGCCCGCCAGGCCAGAAGTGACTCGTGGGGACTCACGTGGTGCGTGCACAGCCCCCGGCACTTCTTGGCTTGGGTTGTTGCTTCTAAGGAGGGTCTTATGGGACAGAGGAGTCCTCTGATCCCGCCTGCCTGCTCTTTTGAAGGTCACTGTTGGGCCCTGGAGAGACCCAGTGGCCCCGCGGAAACCACACCCAGCCGCCTCTTGGGCGTCTGGCCGTGCCGGCCTCCCCGCCTTTCCTTGGCAGTGCCGCATCTGCCCATGGCCTGGGTCCCTCTGGCCCTCGGCCCTCTTTCCCCTCTCTGCAATCAAAGCTCTCTTTGTTCAGACACCAGCAAGGGCGCCCGGCGGGCAGCTGCTGCACAGCAGACACAGGCAGAGTGTGCCCTGCCTGGGGGACCAGCGCCCTGGAGGCCCAGCCCTACAGACCAGCAGCCACACCCCCCGCCCCGGGGGAGGGCTCCCCCAAAGCCTGCCACAGCGGCTCAGCCACAGCTCTGTGTGTTGGGTCCCCAAAGGCCCGGGTCCAAGTGGAGGAAGCCATTGGTGTGGTCACAGGGGCTACAGCTAGGAGGGGCAGGGGTGTGAGGCAAGGCAGGATGCCCAGTGGCCAGGGCAAAGCTTTCGGGAACAATTGGAAATCAGAGCTGCCTTGCACACACCCCATTCATTTGCAAGAGAAAGGCATCACTCCTTCCGCGGTTCGGGGACTGAGTGTCCACCCGGGATGCACTTGGGCATTCTGCAGGCATAGTGGCCCCTGTGCTCCGGGGCCTCCCTCCCTTCACGCACAAAGCTGATCACACCAGGCCACGCAGCGAGCAACCAAAAGCTGCACGTGTCCTTTCTCGGTCGCTGAGAAACCGTGTTTCCCGACGGGAAGGGTGCACACTCTGTCCAAGGTGAAGGATTTTATTGGCCTTTTCCTAATGGGAAATCCCACCCCCAGGACACACAAGCAGTGGATCTGTGGATTCCAGCAGCAGCGTGGGAGAGGCATGGAGAGCACCCGTTCTTCTTGTTGGACTTTGAACCAAGGAGCAGGGAATCCCGGACCTGTAGACCTAACGGAGTGCTACACAGCCGAGGCCTTTGCCCTGGCACAGGCACGGGTGTGTCCAGCTCCCAGAGACGCCTCTCAGAGCACTCCCCCCGCCCCCCCTGTGCCAGGCATCCGCCCGCTGGACACTGGCGGGGGTGGGGGGCGCTTTAGCCTGGGGGGATTTAGCCTGGGAGATGCTTGGCATTGTAGTCGGAATTTTCACAGCTCCCGTGAGATAATCAGAGCTGTAAAGAGTACCACTCAGCTGGTGTCCCCCTCAGGTGGCACGGGAGGGAAAGGCCTCTCCTTCCGATGTCCCCTGGCCCCTGTTTTCTGGAGCCACACACTCTCCCAGCAGCTGTCAGGTCGGAAGTGAAACGCAAAGCGAGTGCTGCACCGGGTCTCTGCCAGAGGAGCAAATGTCAACCTAAACCCTGCACCTGCAGAACGTGCCCTGGGGGCACGGCTCCCTCCAGCAGGGTAGGGGCCTGCTCCAGCCACTGGTTCCAAGTGAGCAGCAAAATCCTGGCCTTGTGGGTTGGGTCCCTGACAAGACCCCTCTCTGGTTTGTGCATGATACCGTAGGGGAAGATTTACCCAGAATACAGGCGGGGCCCCTCCCTCTTAGGGGCTCCCGGGCTGAGCTGCAGAGACCCGAGAATCCAGACAGCAAGAAGAGCCGTCACCAGTGAGGGCCCTTGCTACCCTTTGGGTGGTCCATGTACAGAGAGGGGACTGGGACCAGGGTGGCCTGGAGCTGGGGAACTCCCTGCCGCCCGACAGCTGAGTCAGCGCACTTTCAGAAATCTCTAGAAGTTTCTACGGGCACGTGGCGGCCATGCTGCTGAGACAAGGTCCATCTCAGGGGCCTTGGAATGAGTTGCTGATCTGTCCGCAGGGGAGGACGGCCCCTGTGGAGAGCAGGTAGGGTCAGCGGGCACAGGTCCTGGCAGCTTTAACCCTAACAGACGCGCTCTTTGCTTATCGTTGACGTAAGCCACACGTGCTTGCTGAGAGCCTGTGGCTCAGTGTAGCCGTCTTTACCAGCAAGGGAGGAGCATGGCGCATGGGGGAAGGAGAGAGGAGGGTGGGAGAGAGGAGGGGGGAGACAGGTGGGGGGAAGAGGAGGGGGAGAGAGGAGGGGGGAGAGAGGAGGGAGGAAGAGGAGGGGGGAGGGAGGGGAGGCTGCCCCTTACCCTGCCCCTGCCCGGGGCCCATTCACTGTCAGAACAGCTGCTGTCTCTTAGGAGGAAAATTCTAGAAGGAAGGAAGGGAAGCAGGAAAGGGCTTGGGAAACAGCCTCAGCTGCTGACACTGGGATTCTCTCCCGATTTTGCCAGCAGGAATGAACTGATCCTGCCTGGGCCCACCCTGGGCTGAAGGAGAGGAGGGGCCCCAGCATTCTGGGAAGAGACAGGCCTGGAGGAGAGGCAGGCGTCGGGAAAGGAGGCTGTGCACCTGCTTCCGAGCCCCGTCTGCCCAGGGAGTCTGCTGCTAGGAGGTGTGCAAACCCCCAGGAACAGGCAAGAGAAGGAGGAAGCACTGCAGAATCTGGGCTGCCCAGGGGGGTCTTTGGTCTGCACCAGCAGCCTGCTTGTAGGCGGCACGCACAGTCCACCAGGTTGAACCTGGCTCAGGACTGCTGGGGTCTGTAAAGGCTGTGGGGGCAGAAGCAAGAAGCAGCCTGCGCTCACAGGTGGGGAGTGAGGAGCAGGTGGAAATTCACAAGTGAATCCAGGTCTGTGCACAACGGGGCTGCCCTGCCGACGGTGCCCTTGGTCACCAGCCTGTCACCTCGGCTGTCCCAGCGTCAGGTTCTCAAGACACCGCACATCTGCCACTTCAGCTAAGCCTGTGCGGACAAGGGCAGGGCAGACAGCGACCGGGACCACCTGCTCCTCTTTCTAGAAGCATTTTCTGAGTACGACAGCTTGTTTTTTCTTTTCTGCCCTCAATGAGAAAAGCTAAGTTATTTTTTTAGTTGCCTATTTTTGTAGCAGAGTAATTACCCCATGCTAATTAGCTTTGGGAATAAAATAAAGAAGAAATCCTATGTAGTAATAAAGCATAATTTTTAAGTGAAGGCCTGATTAACCAAGCAATTCTTTAAACTGGTGATGGAAAAATATTTAGTTAAAAAAGAGCATTTTTCATCTACAGTGTATGTATAGTTTTCTAGATACAACAGATGCATAGATCCTTTAAGGATGTCACGTTGGCACATTAAAGACAAGAAAACCAGCCAAGAGGAGTACACTACATAGTCAAAACTTTGTGTTTTGGTTTCTAACTGCAACTGCCGTGTACTTCTGTAATCTCCAGTGGACTCTGTGGAAGAGGAGGAGACGAAGGCTACACAAGGATTCAGAGAACGAAAACCAGCAGAGACATCACCACGGGCCCTGTGGCTCTGCCTTATTTGAGCTGAAAATGGATTTGGGTCTTTGTCAGGAAAAAACGGGGACATCGGATAGGGACAGATATTAGGATATGACCTGGGGAGCCCAGGAGTCAATTACATATTCGCTGAGGTTTGGGGACAATAAGAAGCAACCACATGGGCAAAGTCATGCCCCAGGCCCAGCCAGCCCCCCAGCACTGGCCGAGCGGGGGCTGGGTGGAGGGTGGCTGCTGGGCCCCTGCTCTGGCACTTACTGGCCCCTGAAGCAGAACCACCGACCTCCCAAGACTACAGATCACGTTCAGCGGCAAGAGCGCTCCCTGCTGACATCACCGGGCAGCGGGGAGAGCCAGAGAGAGACGGATGCTCTTTGCAACCCGGCTGAGTCTGGAGCTGGGGGTAGGGGTGGGACCAGGGGGACTAAGTTATGAGAATTCAGAGAGACCCTGGTGGGGTACTCTGAAGCCTCTCGCAGCTGAAGCTTACGCTGACGAGTCTGCCAGCTCCCCGCCCTCCCACCTGGCCAGTTTCTTAGGAAAATCGCCCGTGACCTCGACTTGAAGACCACAGAGCCCAGGATCTAGGGAGAGCCACAGCAAGTGGAGCCTCAGTGTGGTGTCGCTACGAATACTGATGTGTATCCCAAAGAGCGAGGTCCCGTCCCAGCCTCAGGCTCAGGGCAACCCGGGGGCTGCAGGCCTGACCACTTCCCCCTTTGGAAGGTCAGGAGGCCTTAAAGGACAGAGTCACCCCACTGTGGCTCACGATCTCGTGTCTCGGGAAGGGGTCAGCCACCGCATTCGGAGGCGTCAGCAAGTTTAAAGCGATTTCTGGTGAATCACCGAAAAAGCTCCCTCCCTCTCCCATCATCACGGGCGGTTCCCCTACGCTGCTCCGTGCAAAACAGCTCAAAGTGCATCAGATCTGATAGACTCTCGCAATAGAAACGGTACAAAAATAAGACCTCTCTATAAAATTGCTTTGTGCTTTCTTAGAACCCGTGAGTGATTTGTATTCACGAATCTTCTATATCTCCACGTTCGACCCATGAGGCAGCTAATGACTATTGCACATCGACTTTTCCCATCAGCCTCCCATCCTCGGCTGTTCACGTGCAGCGAACTGCAAGGTTCGAGAAACTTCGCTCTGGAAAGTCTAAGATACAGTTTTCACACTCGCCTTTAGCTAACCAGAGAGCATCGCATGGGTTTTCAGGAATGGCTCTTTGGGTGTATCAAGAATGGGGTCTCTCACCAGGGTGGTCTGGAAATTCGAGGTGCTGTGTGTGGCACAGAGGGTCCGGGGCAGTCTCTGCTGTCTCTCTCACTCAGCACCTGATTCAGCGTCGCTCTGTCCCCCTTTCTCTATACTCCAAACCCAATGTCTCGGTGCCAGTGCGTGATGACACACAGAGGACTCTTTTTTTTTTTTTCTGCTGCATTACCTTTTTTGGGTCACCATTGCTCTCCTTTTCTATGCAATAATATTTTTCAAGTATGATGATCTAGAGGATGTTTTATTTTTAACATTTCATTGCTTGTTTTCTGAATGTGCATTGAAAGTGATAAAAATATGCACTCGCATTCGCTCATCTGCCGTGAGAAACTGTTTCCATCCTTCCAGTGTTTCAGAAAAAGGGGTGGAGCATCTGCCACCAGTCTCCAGCTGGCCCTCAGCCCCAGCAGGTGCAGGCCATGCCCTCTCCAGCCACGAGTGCTCTCTGCAGAAGCCAGAGGCCCTTGGTGGCACGTGCTGCCCAAGGAACTCACCCCTCTGACCCAGAGGTGACGCGTGTGAACAACATTCTTAAGTTGCACCTGCCCCAGGAGACCTCACGCTTACCGACCACATCCTTTCCAAGGCTGCCCGTGAACCAGGAAGACAAACTGCACGCACAAGTCCCGACCACAGCGTGCAGGAGAGAGCAGGGACCCCTGGCAGATCTGTAGCTGGCAGCTCGGGTGTCTGCAAAGCTGCTCCAGTAACAGCCCCCGAGTCCTGCCTTCCGGGGCCCGACTCCAAGCAGGAGGACTCCTGGCAGCAAGGACCCTGGTGGTTCTTGCTTCCTGTGCGCGAAAGAACAGACGGTGGCCGCCGGTGCAGGAGAGACCCGTGCGAGGGGAGGGAGAGAGAGAGGAGGGCGCCAGCGGCAACGGGGTGGCCCGAACAGCTCCCGGAGCAGCGGCTCGGCTCTAGTCGTCTTCCCTGCACATGGGCAAGTTGACGAAGGTGAAGACGTTAAACTCTATCATTATGGAGAAGCACAGGAAGACGGCATAGAGGACCAGCACGTAGATCCCCAGCTTCCGGTCCAGCCGCCACTTGTTTAGGTGGATGCCGAGGACCTGGAAGGAGACAGGGCAAGAGCTGGACGCCAGGGCCAGGGAGCACAGGAGGTGTTTCTCCTGGTGAGGAGGCCCAGATTGCTCCGCAGACCACGGAGGAGAGCAGGGGGCGGGGGGTGGGGGGAGCGCTGCCGGGTGCACCCTTGGCTTGACCACACCCAGCCCTGCAAGGCTTCAACCCTGCTCCTCGACCATGGGGGTCTCTGACTCCAGGGACTGGCCCTCCCCAGCAGGAGGCCATCCCCTCCAGGCACAGGGGCCCTCCTGGCCAGCGGGCGGCCCTGCGGTCTTCACCCAAGCCTTCTTAGGGACAATTCAGGTGTTTTGTGAGACACTCCCTTGGCTATGGCCACCTTGCCTCGGATTTCCCAAGGGCCCTGTTCTTGGCTGTCCTGCCTTCACGCCTGGCACAACTACACCTTGCGCCCTGCCCGCCACCTTCTCCCTGGGCCACCTCAGCAGAACACGGTGGCTCAAAGGCTACAGGCTCTACAAGACTGCTTGAGGACTGAGCTGCCTGGGCTCAGATTCCGCCTTTCCCATTTCCCAACCCCGTGACCTTGGACGCATCACTGAACCCCTGAGCTGCCGTCTCTTCTGCAACAGGGCAATGAGCAGAGCGCCTCCCACACCAGTTGGCAAGGATCCCAGAGCGACAGGGAAGCTGGCTGCATGCACGGGGCAGGGCTGTCTGTCCTGCCTCCCCTTGGCCAGCTCAGATAACAGCAGCAGAGTTGGCACTGGAGACTGGAGGGGCAGCGAGGGGAAGGAAGCCCCGTGCACTTTCTCTGGAAACGTCTTCTTTGCTCAGAAAAAGCAGGGGTGGGTGCCGATGCCCTGGGCAAAGCCTGGGTTTGGGGGATATCACGTTTCCTGGGGTTTGTCCCTGACTGCGGGGTGGGGGGCAGTGAGGAAGGGGAGAATCGGAGCCCGAGTGCAGCTTCCGGAACTCACGGTGAGCGCGACGGAGCCCAGCAGCAGCACCACGGAGTAGACCAGCCCCCGGCTGTTGATCTTCACCTGCAAAACCGAACACACGCTCCCTGAGCCGCTCGGCCGTGCCGCCGCTCCACCTGGGACGCCCGGGGCCCTGTGTGTTCACTCTCTCTCTCAAGAGAAGAACCCAGGGGCAGGTGTGAGACAGCAGCCGTGGGGTGGCCGGGACACGCGGATTCAGGTGTCAGATGTGACCGGGGATGCAGACAGGCCTGCCAGACGCTGAGGACAGAGGGCAAAGCTGTGATATCCCTGGGAGCCTGCAGAGGTGGGGGCCGGGCACCCCGGAGAAGTGGCAGCCGGGACAGGGCCCACGCCACTGCCCTCCGTAAACTGGATGCCCCTGCGTTAGTGAGGGGAGGAGAGGCACTTACCGTGGACCCATAATTAATGACCATGGTCTGCAGGCCCCATGGGATGCCAAGGCCCACCAGGATGTCAAAGACGTTGCTCCCGATGGTGTTGGAGACCGCCATGTCACCGAGGCCTGCGGGGGGACAGCGACACGGGGCGGTCACGAATTGCAAGCTGCCCAGACCTGCGTTCTCTCTCACGCTCGTCCTGCAGGCGGAGCCCTGACACGGGGGTTCCTTCTTCCTGCATGCCACGTCTTCGGTGAAGCCGAAGGCACCCACCAGGTGCTGCACGGTGACCTGCGCGGCTTCAGGGAGCCACCTTATTTGGAGACAGGGTCTGTGCGGAGGTCACGAGGCTGGGCCCCAGCCAGCAGGGCAGGTGTCCTATAAGCAGGAGCTACCTGGGTGCAGATGCGCCCAGAGAGGACACCAGGTGACCAGGAGACAGCCAAGGAGAGCGCGATTCAAGAGAGGGGCTCAGGTGATGATGCCACCCAGCGCGTGGTGGGTGACGCAAATTCACATGGGGCCTCTGCTGCTTCTGGCCCCAGCGCCGTTGGCTGAGGCTGAGCACCCACCGAGTGTTGCCTACCAAATGCTCCTGGTCACTCTGGGGGAGACGGGGCATCTGGCCACCCCACGTGGCCGAGGATCAAGGGCACACGGTTTCCCAGGGGCCCAGTCCAGGACCCCTAGTCCCATGTCCTTTATGCCAAGCCCCAGCGTGTCCTTGGGGCCCAAACAATGGCTCCCACGACCTTATGGATCTTGTGCCCTGGTGGTTTCGGAAGGGTGAATCCTCTTTCTCCAACCAGCCTCAAAGCGTCTGGGGGCTGTGCTGTCCTGGCGTCCCCTTCCTGCCCAAGCACCCAGGAACTAACTCGCGTGAGGGCTGTGCCAAGTCAGAAAGCAAACTTTCACAGAAAAGACACACACCGCCCAAACGCTGTTCTAACCCAGCCACTTGGCCCCGATCCGGCACACACTGGCACAGATGTTTCTGGAAGGCAGACTCCTGGAACACAAGTGCCTATAACCCTACGCTGCTTTGGCAGCCACAACGCTCTGCAGCCCCTCAGCTCAGCGTCCAGACGGGGGGGCCGGCTCTGTTTGCTCCCGGCCGCTCCTCCCATCCGCGGGGCTTCGGCTGCTGACTTGCAGGACACAATGCCTCCCCCCAGCTCTCACATTTGGGCTGACATCCCTGCTTTGCATCCGCCCCAGGTGCATTCAGAGGGACTTCAGAACCTTGGCAGCTTCGTCCAGGGAGGGGCAGTACCTCTGGGAAACTGGCCCTCCATCTCCCGGTCCCTGGGAGGGGAAGGGGGTGCAGCGACTGTTTTGCAGGCACTCGCTGGACCTGGACTGGTAGGGGGCGAATCAGATGCTGGAGTTGAGGGAGGAGGGGAAGAGCCGGCCTTCCTGCTCTGCGCGGGGCTGGGGAAGAAAGCCAGTAGGGGACTTTCTCACCAGGGACTGGTGTCCTTCTGGGAAGAACGTTTGCACACAGACGCACTCACAGGGAAGGGGGCCCCAGGACGCTGGCGGCAGACACTTGGGTGATGCAGCTGCCCGCCAAGGAATACTGAGGGCTGCTGGCTGCCCCCAGAGGCTAGAAGTGGGCAAGGGGGACCCCCTGCTCCAGAGCCTTCAGAGGGAGCGGCACCTGCTGCCTCCTGGATTTCAGACCTGGGGGCCCAGAGCTATGAAAGGAAGTGTCTGTGGGTGGCTGCAGCCCCAGGAAACGAACAAGCTTGTGTCAAAGGCCACCCAATGAACTCCCAGCCCCTCAGCCTCATCCCCAACTGAATCCCTTCCCAGTAAGGCCCCTGCCCACCCCCAAAGCTTCTCCCACACTCCCCTGGCCCTCAGTTCAGATTTTCTCGGGCCTGACCCACCAGGAGCTCCCCTGCCCCAGGCTCCCACCCTTGAGAAGCAAATCGGCCTCTGCCTCCTTCCCAAGCCAACCTTTCTCTCTGGTGCTGTTCCCTGCCCTGCCTCCCACGAGACTTCTCACTGTGGCTCACGCGTCCCCACCCTGACTTCCACACTCTGCTCTGTGCCGGAGATCCACGGGCGCCTACGCTGGGTGTTACCTCCCCGGCAGAAAAGACACAGGGAATCGAGGCCAGACATTTCTGGTGCTTTGTTCTGCACTCAAAGACCCTAGCTTCACTCACCCCCCATCTTGCTCAACCTGTGCCACTGCAGAAGCCCAAAGGAAGAAGCAACAAGCAAACCAAAACATTATCCATGTCCTACACATTGGACAAAGAGTGGGGAAGGTTGGCTGGACGGGACCAGAACCTTCCAGCCTGAGCTCGTTGTCTAGATGAGGTCTGGTTTGGCTCTGCTGAATCTCACATTGACAGGTGACCTCGGGCAGATGCTTCTAGAAGGCCAGAGAGCTTCACACTGGAGTACCCGTCCTCTTCCCATGGGTGAAATCTAATCTGCGGTGCTTTCTAGACATTACAGCTTCCTCCCTGGCAGGACCTGACCACTGTAAGGTGGCAGATGCAATGAGGTGGCCACATGGTGACGCTGAGGGCTCTGGGGACCCAGGTGTGATCCATACCTTGCCTGGCCACGATCAGGCTGGCCATGCAGTCTGGAACGCTGGTCCCCGCAGCCAGGAAAGTGATGCCCATGATGACGTCAGGGATCCCGAGCGTGTATCCAATGATAGTGACCTGCAGAAAGGGGAGACATGGACACACAACTCACAGCCTGCCAACTCTGCTTACCCCATGCACTCGCTCTCGCGCTGACTTACTTCTTTTTTCTTTTTGACAGGCAGAGTGGACAGTGAGAGAGAGAGACAGAGAGAAAGGTCTTCCTTTTCCGTTGGTTCACCCTCCAATGGCTGCTGCGGCTGGTGCACTGCGGCCGGCACACTGCGCTGATCTGATGGCAGGAGCCAGGTGCTTCTCCTGGTCTCCCATGGGGTGCAGGGCCCAAGCACTTGGGCCATCCTCCACTGCACTCCCGGGCCACAGCAGAGAGCTGGCCTGGAAGAGGGGCAACCGGGACAGAATCTGGCGCCCCGACTGGGACTACAACCCGGGGTGCTGGTGCCGCAAGGCGGAGGATTAGCCTAGTGAGCCGCGACGCCGGCCTACTTACTTTCATCTACTTGGAAGGCAAGGAGAGAGGAAGACAGAGAGAGAGAGCGAGCAAGAGCGTCTATCTGCTGGTTACTCCCCAAATACCTGGAACATCCAGGGCTGGACCAGGCGCAGTCAGGAGCCAGGAGCTCCATTTTTGCCTCCCATGTGGATGGCAGAAACCCAAATACATGAGCAACATTTGCTATCGCCCACAGAAAGCAGGAAGCTGAATTGCAAGTGGAGTAACTGGGACCCAAATTGGCACTTTGATACGGGACAAGGGTGTCCTAGCAGCACCACAACGCCCACCCTCACCCCATGTGTTTTTAACCTGAAGGTGGTATTGCTGCAACTGATAGAAAAATGTGGGACTGGCGCGTGGTGCGGCAGATAAAGCTGTCGCCTGTGACGCCAGCATTCCATCTGGGCACCTGTTTCAGCTCAGGCTGCTCCACTTGCGATCCAGCTCTCTGCTGTGGCCTGGGAAAGCAGCAGAAGACGGCCCAAGTCCTTGGGCCTCTGCACCTGCATGGGAGACCTGGAGGAAGCTCCTGGCTCCTGGCTTTGGATTGGCCCAGTTCTGGCCACTGAGGCCACTCAGGGAGTGAACCAGCAGATGGATGATCTCTCTAACTCTTTCAAAGAAATAAATCTTTTTTTTTTTTAAAAGGAAATCTGTGGAATGTTTTTATTTGAAGAATGTCTTTTGAATGTTCCATTTTTTCTTGATTGTAGGTGCTCATTGTTTTAAAAGGCTTAGAAAATAAAATGAGATAGGGGCTGGTGCTGTGGCACAGCGGGTTAACACCCTGGCCTGAAGCGCCCACATCCCATATGGGTGCCGGTTCTAGTCCCAGAGTCTCCACTTCCAATCCAGCTCTCTCCTATGGTCTGGGAAAGCAGTAGAAGATGGCCCAAGTCCTTGGGCCCCTCCACCCGCATGGGAGACCCGGAAGAAGCTCCTGGTTCCTGGCTTCGGACTGGCGCAGTTCGGGCTGTTGCGGCCAACTGGGGAGTGAACCATCAGATGGAAGATCTCTCTTTCTCTTTCTGCCTCTCCTCTCTCTGTATAACTCTGACTCTCAAGTAAAAAGTAAATAAATCTTTAAAAAAAAAAGAAAAAAGAAAAGGAGATAAAACCCCCTACCATTTCTCAAGGCCCATGGACACCCGTTATCGACACTTCGCAATGGCTCTCAAAGTTGAACAATCAGCAAATTCCTGGGGAGTCTGTGAAAGCGCAGACTGCCAGGCCCCGCCCCGAGACCCCGCTCCTGGGGTCCAAGAGGGTGCCTTCCCGAGTCCCGGGGCGCTGGGATTCTGAGGGTCTGAGAACCACATTTGAAAACCACTGCTTTTCAGCCTTTTTCGGGTGTGCGTACTAGAAAAAATGAGACCAGCTATACTACCTCTCTGTTTCGTAACTGCTCCAGGTCAGAACACGTGGGAGAGGCCTTTCCACCCAGAAAATTCAGCCACGATGCCCACGGTTTACCGCACCGCTGTGAAGTTTGAGCCAACTGCCCTCATTATGGGAGACGCAGGTGGTCTCCTTGTTGGTCTTATTATTATTATTATTATTATTATTATTATTATTATTATTTTGACTGGCAGAGTTAGACAGTGAGAGTGAGAGAGAGAGAGAGAGATAAAGGTCTTCCTTCTGTTGGTTCACTCCCCTAATGGCTGCTACTGCGGGCGCTGCACCGATCCAAAGCCAAGAGCTGGGTACTTCCTCCCAGTCTCCCATGTGGGTGCAGGGCCCAAGCACTTGGGCCATCCTCCACTGCCCTCCCGGGCTACAGCAGAGAGCTGGACTCAAAGAGGAGCAACTGGAACTAGAACCCGGTGCCCATATGGGATGCCGGCACCGCAGGCGGAGGATTAACCTAGTGAGCCATGGCGCCGGCCCCTCCTTGTTGGTCTTATAACACTACTACATATGACAAGCAGCATTTAGTGAGCACTTACTGTCACCAGGTGCTCTACAAGGTGTTCAACTCACATAACTGTGTACGCTATTATTTTCTACCCATGTGGGAGGTGCTATCACTACACCAGCTGAGGCTCAGAGAGGCTAAGCAGCATCACCCAGGCACACAGCTGGGAACCGACAGAGCCGGGACTCCCTGCCGAGGGCTCCAGCCGCTCCCTCCTGCTGCCTGTGTGGCCCTCTCTGCCTTCTCATCCCCCCACCTCCTTAGGATGAATCCCAAGGACTAGAATCACTGGGTGAAAGGACACGCAGGTTTTAAAAATCCTGATGCACACGGACTGCTCTCCCCAGCTCTGGCATCCACTAACTGTGTAACCCTGGGCAAATTACTCCATCTCCCCACGCTTCAATTTCCCCACCTGCAAAATAGCAATAGTAAAAACAGCTATCCCGTGGGGTTGTTACGAGGCTACAGAAGTGTTTATGTAATGTGCGTAAGCCAGCCCCTGGGCGCAGAGGAGAGGAACAGGAGCACCTGCTGGCAGGGGCACGGTGGGGGCTGCCTGCATGCATCATGTTTCCCTGCTGGCTCTGGTCTCCCTCCTGCACAGTTCTCTGGGGGGACCTGGAAGGTGCTCGGTGTCAGCCGCCTCTATATGCTGTCCCCCCTATCAGAGCCGCCCGTCTCGGGCTCGAAGGCAAGTACTCTGCTGTGTCTGCCCCGGCATCCCTGGCACACAGCCCAGCGCCAGGCACTTTCCTGAAAACCCCATTTCTACGGAGGAACAGTAAGCTGTAGCCGGGAGGGCTGTGGCTAGCCCGCGCCCAGCTCCCCTCTTCCGCCTGCCCGGCCCAGCGCTGCTCACCAGCCACACCATGAGGTAGGAGAACACGGCGATCCACAGGGTGGCGGTGATGAAGGTGACCATGAAGAGCTTCTCCCAGCGGGGCTTGCTGCAGTTGGGGATGGTGATGCACAGCAGGAAGATGAGTGGCCACGTGAACACCCACTTGGCCTTGTCCCCTCTCGCCTCTGTGGGGATGGGGTGGGACAAGGCGGGAGGGGGAGAAACACACAGCAGGTTACTTGCCTGCCAGTCCACCTGGCCGTTTGCTTTTCCAAGCTAAACAAGAGAACACCACTGATGCGATGCCAAGCATCTGACCGACAGAGCCACGGGCCTCCGTGACGTCACCCTGGAAGTAGCTGCACAGTTCAGGGTTTGTTGATTGAATTTCTTCAGTCATTGCCAAATGTTCATTTGACTGGATAAGGAAGGGAAGGCCCACAGAGGAATGAGCTTTGCATAGGGTTGCTGAGTGGGGCTGAGCGGTACAGGTGGGCTTTGCAATCAGTCTTGGGCTGGAATTCAAATGACCTTGAGCAATCCCCTCAGCTCCAGGACCTCCGCTAACAACAGCAGATGCACTATTGCAACAATGTGACAATAATCAAGAAAGAGTATTTTCCTGGGCAGTGGGCACAGTGCTAAGCCCTTTGCATCTTAGTAGCTTCCTCACCTGGGAAATGGGAACATTTTCTCTTTCTTGGTTGTGGCAAGAATCCTATGATGCACTGTTCATAAAACACCCAGCACAGAGCGCCTCCTCCACAGTAGGTGCTTGGGAAACCTCAGCTCCTTTGCTCCCAGGTCAGACAGTCAGCGCAAGACAGGTACAAGACTGCAAGCTAGGGCTCCTGATGCAGTCCAGATCTCACTGGGCCCCACCCCGGGACTCCACATACATCCCACCAAGGACAAACAGCCCCAGTAAGCCACTGTTTCCAAGCACTGTTTCCAAGTGCCCTAAGAAGCCAGAGTGTGGGTGCACACAGAGGCTCAACCCCAGCCTGCTGGGGGGTGGGGCATGTGGCCTAGCAGTTAAGCCATCAGTTGGGATGCCTGCACCCCACACGGGAGTAACCTGGGGTCAGAGGGCCACCCCGACTCCAGCTCCCTGCTAATGCGCACTCTGAAGGCTGCAGGTGATGCCTCAGGGAACTGGGGCCCTGCCACCTACATAAGATATCAGGATGGACTTCCAGGCTCCTGGCTTTGGCCTGGCCCAGCCCCAGCCATTGTGAACATTCGGGGAGTGAACCTGCCGGTGGGAACTTTCTCTCTTCCTGTCTCACTCACTCTGTCGTTCAAATGAATTACACACAAAACCCAGAAGACAACCTGGCCTGCGGGTGATGTCAAGAACTGGTAGAAGAAGGACCTCTGAAAGTTCTCTTTGTGAAAGTGATAAGAACAAGGGCCAGGCGTGGCGGAATCAGCTTTCTGCAGAACCCTGGGCATCAGTGGAGGGTTTGTAGCCACGCAGGGAGTGTCTGTTTAAGAAAGCTGCAGTGTCTCTGCAAGACGCGGAGCTTTGTGGAGTTTCACTTCAACTCCATCCCTTTCATCTCCAGAGTAGCCTTGAACACCCACAGCCCGCAGGCACCAGGGCAAACAGCAGCCCGGCAGCCGCAGCACCTCCCAAGTCCCCTCCCACACACTGCTGACGCTTGCCCTGCCGCGTCCGAAGCCGTCTCCATCTCCCCCGAGTCAGTGCTCACGGGCCATGAGCAGCCTTTTCCTTGGGGGAAAACCCCCAGAGCCCACCATCAAGTCCTGCTGTCCAGACACACAGCCTGAGGACTGGCCAGGGAGTGAGACGCGACGGGGGCTTCCCAGACCTCTCAGTGAGGCCAGGCTCGTGTCCGCGCTCAGCAGAGACGGCAGCAGGTGCGAAGCCTTCACCTCTGCCTCCTTTGTGGCTCTGCAGGAGCGGGAAGTAAAGGCTGATGCCGAGTGCCGTCTCTGCCTGAGCGCGGAAGGCACCCCCAAGCAGACGCACAGCCCCTCTGTTCAGCGGAGCTCTCGCCCGGGACTCCTGGACCCGGGCACCTAAGGGTGTCTCTGTGCAGTCATCAGCATTCATCCTGCAAGCAGAGACCTCGGTAGCTACCTGCAAAACCATGCAGATCTTGCAGAGTTAGTTTAGAAAAAGTCACCAAGAAGCAAATAAATAAGAATTTAAAAAAGCAACAATGGGGGCCGGCGCTGTGGCGTAGTGGGAAACCTGCCACCTGTGACACCAGCATCCCATACGGGTGCCAGTTTGAGTCCCGGCTGCTCCACTCCCAATGCAGCTCCCCGCTACAGGGGAGCTATGGGACTGGCAGAAACACCAGAAAGAAGACCTGAGGAAGTGTGGCCCACGCACAGGAACAAAGCCAGTCAACAGAGGGAGGCCCATTTATGGGGTTTACCAGACAAAACCTTAAACCAGTTGCTTTCAAACACATTCAAAAACTTGTTTTTAATCTAAAAGATTAAAGTATGGGCATGATACTACAAAACATCAATAAAAAGGTAAAAATGATGAAAATAACCAAATAGAAACTCTCGATTGAAGTCTGATGACTATGATGAAGACTTCTCTGCAGTGGATCTGAACAGGCAGAAGAATACAATCAGCTCCCCCAGGGCCAGCGCTGTGGCTCACTTTGTTAATTCTCAGCCAGCGGCACTGGCATCCCATGTGGGCACCGGTTCTAGTCCCGGTTGCTCCTCTTCCAGGCCAGCTCTCTGCTGTGGCCCAGGAGGGCAGTGGAGGATGGCCCAAGTGCTTGGGCCTTGCACCTGCATGGGAGACCAGGAGGAAACACCTGGCTCTTAGCTTCGGATGGGCGCAGCGCCAGCTGTAGAGGCCATTTGGGGAGTGAACCAACGGAAGGAACATCTCTCTGTCTCTGTCTTTCAAATAAAATAAATAGATAAATAAAAAAAAAAAAACAATTAGTTCCCCTGAAGACAGGCCGTGTAATGGCTGAGTCTGAAGAGAAGAAAGCAACAAGAATGAAGGAAAATGAACAGGGCTGCAGAGGCCACGCAGACCAACGTACATATAACGGGCTCTCAAGACAGCGCGGAGAGAGAAGGGAGCAGGAGGGAAATCTGAGAACCCTTGTTCAAAAGCTCTGCCAAAGCTCAGGACAACCATTAATAGGTGCACTCAAGGAGAAGGCCGCTCCTCCCAACTGCACGGGGAACATTCACCAGGACCACCTGCTGGGCCACAAGACAAGACTCAATGCAATCATGCAGAGCGTGGGGCCACAGTGGAACGGGATTAGAGGTCGACAACAGAAAAAAGTATGTGGGAATCAAACAACACAGACCAAAAACACAATGAGCCCAAGAAGAAATCTCTAGGGAAATTAGGAACTACTTCAAGAGGAATGAAAACAAGAATGTGACATACCCAAATCTATGAAGCAATGAAAACAGCACTTAGAAGTGCGTGACTGGAAGTCACTGTATTGAAGCAGGGAAGACTGCAGGCCTAACTTCCTTCCCTAGTGAGAAAAGAGCGGCCAGCACGGGGTGCAGCAGGTTAAGCTGCCTCCTGCAGTGCTGGCATCCCATACAGGCGCTGGTTCAAGTCCCGGCTGCTCCACTTCCGATCCAGCTCCCTGCTAATGCACCTGGAGAAATCAGAAGATGGCCCGAGTGCTTGGCCTCTGTACCCACATGCAAGATCTGTACAGAATTCTCAGCTCCTGGCTTCCGGCTGGCCTGGCCCAGCCCCGGCTTTCGCAGGCATTTGGGGGAGTGAACCAGTGGATGGAAGAACTCCCCTTGTCTGCCTTTCAGATAAAATGAAAATAAATAAATAAATAAAAAATTTAAAGATGATATGGAAAAAGAGCAAATTAAATTCAAAGAAACCAAAAGAATCAAGGTTAGAATGGACATAAATAAAATATAGAATAAAAAATAATATACTCAAATCAAAAGCTTGTTCTTTGAAAAGGTCAAAAAAATTGACAAATCTTTATGTAGGCTAAGAAAAAAGAAGTCTCAAATCAGGAATGAAAGAGGGAAATTACTGTAAGCCTTACAGAAATAAAAAGAATTATCAGAGAATGAACAATCATATGCCAACAAATTAGACAACATAAGTGAATGGGTAAAATGTTAGAAAGACACAAACTACTAAAACTGACTCAAAAAGAAGCAGAAAATAGGAACAGACATAGAACAAGAGGTTGAAACAGCAATCAATTTCCCTCAAAGTAATGCCAGGACCAGATGGCTTCATGGAGATTTCTACCAAATGTCTAAAAAATTAACATGAATTTGTCACCAACTCTTCTAAAAAATACAAGACTTCCTAATTCATCTTATGAAAGTAGTTTTACAGTGAGGCCAAAGCCAGACATAGACATGAAGGGAAAAGAAAAGCACAGGTCAATAAGCCTTCTGCATGTAGGTGCAAAGTCCTTTAACAAAACTTTAGCCAACTGAATCTTGGAACATATAAAAGGTGTACACTATAACAAACTGGAATTTATCCCAGGAATGCAAGTGGGGCTCGCACAAAATGAAATCCAATCATTGCAGGCCGGCGCCGCGGCTCACTAGGCTAATCCTCCGCCTTGCGGCGCCGGCACACCAGGTTCTAGTCCCGGTCGGGGCGCCGGATTCTGTCCTGGTTGCCCCTCTTCCAGGCCAGCTCTCTGCTGTGGCCAGGGAGTGCAGTGGAGGATGGCCCAAGTACTTGGGCCGTGCACCCTATGGGAGACCAGGATAAGTACCTAGCTCCTGCCATCGGATCAGCGCGGTGCCATTGGAGGGTGAGCCAATGGCAAAGGAAGACCTTCCCCTCTCTCTCTCTCTCTCTCTCTGTCCACTCTGCCTGTCAAAAATAAAAAATAAAAAAAAAATCCAATCATTGCAACACACCAGGCTAATGAACCACATGATCTTCTCAAGTGAGGCAGAAGCAGCATTTGACAAAGTTAATGCTCTTTCATGATAAAAACACTCAATGAACTAGAAAGGGAACTTCCTCAACCTGATCAGAGGTATCCACAAGCCCCCAACCAACACTCTAAACGGTGAAAGGCTGATGGTTCCTCCCATGGCCGGGAGGAAGATGAGTATGCCTGCTCTCACCAATGTATCCAACGGTATACCAGAGGTTCAGCCAAAGAATCTGGGCAGGGGAGAGAAGTAATGGTGGCTCAGGCTGCAAAGA